TTGAAAACACATCCAGTATTTCCATATCTTTGTCTTTCATTTACTTGTTTCATCGACCTCCTCACACCTCCCTTTTTTGTATTCTAATTCAATTAGCTATTTCAGCAAATCCTTTTCATCTTTCTCAATTTATTTTAACACAATCTGACCTTAAATTTTACACTTTGGCCCATTAACAATCCATTTTTACTTAGTTCTTTATAACATTTCTGCTAAAACCATGTAACTTCATTCCAGCATCTTTCTAACATTCATTAATTTTACAATGTTTCTGTAAATATACTTTAATTTTTTTCCAATCTTCTTCCACCGGCGCAGCCCAGAACTTTCTAACCGCCCTCACTGTTTTTTAAAAACCCGAGGTGGCGATGTGACCCCAGAACCCGGCGTCCTGGTGGGAAAGAATCCCTCTCCTCCTTGCATTGCAAGCCTCCGCCACAATAACAACAACATCCCCTGTGGTTTCTCAGATCCGCGCTGGAGCTATTTGGGCTGTTTGCTCAGACGCCGGGACGGGTGCCAGCCTTCAAAGCACACAAACCTACCTTGTGATCCTGATAGGGGAGTGTGAACTTTGCCCCGTGCCAAAGCGAGTGGGCTTAGTTCACGGAAGTGAAAGTTGCAGAGCGAAAACATGGGATCGCTCGGCCGGCCGGCCGGCCACCCCAAAGCCATGAATCCTAATTGCATGTTCCTTTGCTGCTCCCAGAGCTTCCCATGTTTGACAGCCTCGTTCTTGTGGTTTTCTACCAGCCAGGCAGAAGCCAAATGGTGTTTAGTCTGTGCTGGTTTCCACCGTCTTTGCTGCAGGGAAGCATGGACTTCCCATCAATTTCCAATCCAGTAACGAGGAGCTGAGTCAATGAAATCGAGAAGCTCCAAGTTCAAGTCCACAGAAGTCCTGATCCTGCCTGCAAATTGTTTCTAGGGACCACATGGAAGGGCGGTACCTGCCCACACCTCCTCTAGATTTCTACCTCACTCCTTCTCTCCTTCCAATAGTAGTAGTAGTAGTAGTAGTAGTAGTAATAATAATAATAATAATAATAATAATAATAATAATAATAATAATTTATTTATACCCTGCCCATCTGGCTGGGTTTCCCCAGCCACTCTGGGTGGCTTCCAACAGAATATTAAAATACAAAAACCCATTAAACATTAAAAGCTTCCCTGAACAGGGCTGCCTTCAGATGTCTTCTAAAAGTCTGGTAGTTGCTGTTCTCTTTGACCTCTGGTGGGAGGGTGTTCCACAGGGCGGGTGCCACCACCAAGAAGGCCCTCTGCCTGGTTCCCTGTAACTTGGCTTCTCGCAATGAGTGAACCGCCAGAAGGCCCTCAGCACTGGACCTCAGTGTCCAGGCAGAACGATGGGGGTGGAGACGCTCCTTCAGATATACTGGACCGAGGCCGTTTAGGGCTTTCAAGGTCAATACCAACACTTTGAATTGTGCTCAGAAACGTACTGGGAGCCAATGTAGGTCTTTCAAGACCGGTGTTGTGTGGTCTCGGCGGCCGCTCCCGGTCACCAGTCTAGCTGCCGCATTCTGGATTAGTTGTAGTTTCCGGGTCACCTTCCCAGTAGAATCCGGACATCCTCGTCGGCAACAAACAGAATAGATGTTGGCAGCTTATATGAGTGGAATGAGAAGAGCAAAAGACACCAACGCTGCCAGAATATTTGATGGCCTCTTGATAATGTTGGGGGGCTCAAAGTTTTGCAACACGAAGGGGCTTTGGCCCCCAGCCCATGTAGCCTGCCACAAACAGCGGATCCTGCCTCAGGAGCCATTCTAGGGGCTCCTAACCCTGGTTGTTTACTCAGATCTTCTCATGCTGAAAGATGGCCATGTTCCAACCATAGCTGTTTTTATAACTACGAACTTCCAAGATGGAGCAGTAGGAAGCAAGCTTGCTCTGTCTTCCATGTGACAGCCCTTGAGATATTTGAAGATGGCTCTCATATCTCCTCTCAGTCTCCTCTTTCACAGGCTAAACACACCCAGCTCCTTCGACCATTCCTCATAAGGCTTGGTTTCCAGACCCTTGGTTGCACGTTCCAGCTTGTCAACATCCTTCTTAAACTGTGGTGCCCAGAACTGGACACCAGGTGTGGTCTGACCAAGGCAGGACAGAGTGGTACTATCACTTCCCTTGATCTGGACACTGGACTTCTGTTGATGCAGCCTAGAATAGCGTTAGCTTTTTTTTGCTGCTGCACCACACTGTTGAGCTTGTGGTCCACCAAGACTCCTAGATCCTTTCCACATGTACTGCTAGTAAGCCAGGTGACCCCCAATTTATATTTGTGCATCTGGTTCTTCCTGCCTAACCGCAGAACCTGACATTGGTCCCTATTGAAACTCATTTTGTTAGCAAATATTTTCCGTAAGCGGAATCCTGCACATTTTGCAGTTTCCCCTGTGCTTCTGCAGAATCGCACCATTTGAGTGAGCTTGATTATAACCCTGCTTTTCATCTCTGCTACTAGAGATACGCGTCATACATGCCTTCAGCTAACCAAACAGCTACTTAAGGCGAGCTGAAACAGCATTAGTAATATGGCAGCACAGCTCAGACATAGCCACACCAGAATCTGGAATTTCACCTGCTCTCTGGGATTTATCACTCCACAAAGCAGCATCTCAGGGCTGGAGTTTGCATTGTATGTGTGATTTCGTGGAAAGGAACTGGTTCACAACCATCCATAACTAGTAGAAGCAAATTCCTGCATTCCAGGGGGTCGGATGCGATTACCCTTCCGAGTCTATAATTCTACGATTCCATGAATTCAGATGCACAGTGAAATCCTATACCCATCTACTCAGAAGCAGGGCCCAGTGACTTCAATGGGGCTTACTCCCAGGTAAGTGGGTATAAAATTGCAGCCTCGGGGATCTTCTTCGGCCAAGACTGAGAAAGGATCTCCTCCCCAGGCTGCAAGGGAAATCTGCCATTTGTAAGAAGTGCACACAGATGTGTGTGTAACAGATATTCTCCCGAGAGAAAGGGATATGGATGTTTTCTGGGGGGCTGGTCAATACGAGGTCAGAGATTAAGGAAAGCTAATACAAGCTCTTTGACATATTGCAGAGGGAGCTTATTGAATCAAGGCCTTGGTGGGCTACAGTACAGAACCCTCCAGAGCCCATGTCTCTGAGACACATGTCTGTATTATTATTGATCGTCGCAAGCCGCTCTAAGGGGCTTTTATGGCTGAAGGGCAGAGGGAGAAATGCGTCAATCAAATGAATAAAACAAAATAGCGGGTCGAATCTCATCCCTGACCACCTGATGGGAGTCATGGCCCAACAGCAGCAGCCTGACTAGAGCTGGCACCTTCCAGATGTTTTCGACTACGACTCCCTTCAGCCCCATCGGAAATGTAGTCCAAAACATGACCAAGGCGCCAGCTGGGGCAAAGCTGAGCTGGTTTTCCTTCTCACAGAAAGGCTCTCAACATTTAGCAACCCTCTCTACCCCAATATCCAGAAGCGACACCCGTCGCCTTCCAATCAGGACCTATTAATTTCCCTGCCTTCCCTCACTAGCCAGGAGAGCAAATTTGCTTCAACGTCTGAATACATTCCCTTCTAACAAGATGACATTTGAGCCTGCCCCAAATCTGGCTGTCACATTGAAAACAGTCATATTTTATGCCCTGGGAAGGAGGGGTGGAGGGAAAAGAAGACGAAACCAGACAAGTTTTGAGCAACTCCCCACACTGCGGTTGGAAATATGAGGGAGGGAGGAGCAGCCATTTTTACAACAGCAATATATTTCAACCACGTTTTCAGAAACGTAGCGAAGCATGACGAAAATACGTGTTTGGAGGGTTGCTAGGCTGGAAGCAGCCAAGTCTGATTGAACGGCTCCCCGCGCCAACCGGCAACCCCCCCCCCAAAAAAACCCTGTCTCCTGTATCTGCCACACACAAACATAGCTGTCAACTTGCAGATTTGAAAATAAGGGACCAGCAGCCTTGAAAATAAGGGACCAGCAGCCAAATAAGGGATTTTAGTCAACCAGCTGAAATACGAAGTTAAAAGGGACAAGGTAATTTGGGAGAGCAGAGCCGGTTTTTAGCCCTTCGTTTCCAGAGGTTGCTGCTCAAGACACCAGCTGATGAAACACTGCAATTAAATAACTACAAGCAGCAACCACTTTTCACGCAAAACAAAGTCCAAGCTACGAAGATGCTGCTGCAGTTCTGTATCTTTTCTCTCGTGCTCCATCTGCAGCTCCCAGTTCCATCAGGCGGGGCAGGAGGAAGGGGGGGGGGAATAGTGCCCGAAGTAAACCGGCAGATCAGACCATCTATGCTAGTTTACCACTACAAATCTATGGGAGAAGCGCTTGCGGTCCTTCCTCCGCTTTCCCTCCTATGGTTAGCCCTTGGAACACCTGCCTGCGCCTCTGCCTCCTCCTCCTCCTCTCTCTGAACTGCTTTGTTTATGGTTGCCCTCGCTCTCCTCTCAAGGCTCCTCAGCAATTCATAGGCCGCGCCAGGCTGCCCATCTCATCTGAGTCCTTCGGCAGCGCAGCCGCAGTACGGCCTAGCAGGAGCGATGGGCAGAGGGGAGGCCCCAGGCAGAGACACTCAGGAGGAGGATGGTGGCGGAAGGGCCCGAGGCTCCCACGAGTCCTGGCGGGGAGAGGCTCCCGGGGGCCGAGGCTGGTGAGAGGAGGCCGGAGGGGGGCGGACCGGGCAGCCAAGCACTTGGAGCCTCCCTCCTCACTTGGAGCCTCCCTCCTCCCTGGCCGGCAGAGAGGGAGGGAGAGGAGCTGCTTCCTTTGAAACCCGGGAAATTTAAGGGACATCATCAATAAGGGGCAGCAGCGGGACACGGCACTGGGATAAGGGACTTTCCCGCCAAATAAGGGACGGTTGACAGCTATGCACACAAATACACAAGGAAAGAAATCGCATCAGCAGCAAACCAATTAAACCAGCACCATCACACTCTCGTTTCTCCTTCCTGAGGAAAATGAAGACGTACCTGGCATCCCCTTTCGAAAGGTTCGTGTTCACAGGATGAAGGATAACTTTGTTTTCGTCCACATCCACCACACATTTCGTATGCAGGTCTATTTCTATTAGAAACAAAAAAAAAGAGGGAAAGGAAAGAGAACGTCAAAAGTCTGCCTTAAAATCAGAGGCGTTTCGTGGTGCAGCTGGAATATTTCTGCTGAGCTTCCCAATTCACCCAGATGCTTGAAAGTCAGGTTAAAAGAAACGGCTAGTTTTGCGCTGCCGTTATTTAGTTGCTTGATAACCTACAACAAACGTCGTAATTATTAATCGCAACAGTCAACGGTGCCCTTCTGTGCAGTTCAAAAGTTGTATATTCCTATCCTATTTTCATTTTCATAAAAATAATAAAAATCATTGCTTGTATATACCGTTCATTGTGCTCCGCCCTCAAAGTTAAAGATATATCTATCTATAAGTTTGATTTCTCTCTGAAGCTATTATTATTATTATATCTGTTTTACAGATCAAGAAGGCTGCAGTGACTCCTGTGTGACTTTTGTTATAATTCTGCTGCATGGCTTATTTTGTTTTGTTAACAGAGTTTCATAGGCCGCAATTGTTTTAATGATGACTTGTAAATGTTTCACAGATGATTTGCCATCTATTCAGTGTAATTTACGCTGCATTTGTGATGTTCTGGGGCGTTACTGCTATTTATCTTTTGTAAGCCGCTGTGCGATTCATTTGAAGGAAAAGATAGCAAGTCAAACAGAAATATAGTGAATCAAATCAGACGAAAACGTCTTTCATATGCCGGCGTTCATTCACTGGTCCTCCTGCTGATGAGTTTTAAAATCAATCTTTCCATACAGATTTTTAGCCTCTTGGGTCCTGTTTGGCCCCTGCCCACGGGCACAAACTAAGGGCCTCACTCTGACTGCTCACCCACATTGTCGCAGTTGCATGCGGGTTCATCTCCAGCTTCGCACTCGGCCACAGAAGCTGCCGGGTCGTTCCAGTGTGGTTCCCCCAGTTTTACAGAGACGCCACCAGGAAAGGACCTGCGGCGCTATTTGCAGCTGGCAAACGAGCCCCGGAGGCTGGCACAACGGGCAGGAAGAGGGGCAAAAGGCTGCCACGCAGCTGCTTAGCCAGATATTGGCCCAAGGCAAGCGAGAAGGCAGCAAAGCAGACCTCTGCCCCACCAGTGCCACACGGGCATAAAAGAAGCCTAAGTCTATACACACCGAGACTCTTGAAAATTTAAGCGTTTCTGGATAAGACTCTTACAGAACAACTGCAACATGGTGGTTCCTGTATTGAAGGGGATTGGGCTGGATGACCCTCCAGCCCCTTCCGACTCTACAGTTCTTTGATTCTACATCCGCCACGAAAAAGGCATGCAATTTATGCCCTTGAGACTGACCCAGAAACTCCAGTGGATGCAGAATGCCGCGGCGAGACTCCTTACGGGGTCCTCGCTGCGAGATCACATTCACCCAGTGCTATACCAGCTGCACTGGCTTCCAGCAGAGTACAGGGTCAGGTTTAAGGTGCTGGTTTTAACCTTTAAAGCCCTATACGACCTAGGACCCTCGTACCTACGGGGCCGCCTCTCCTGGTATGTCCCATGGAGGACCTTACGGTCTTCAAACAAAAACACCTTGGAGGTCCCGGGCCACAGGGAGGTTAGGCTGGCCTCGACCAGAGCCAGGGCTTTTTCAGCTGTGGCCCCGAGCTGGTGGAACGCTCTGTCCCAAGAGACTAGGGCCCTGTGGGACTTGACATCTTTCCGCAGGGCCTGCAAGACAGAGCTGTTCCACCAGGCCTCTGGCCAAGGCGCAGTCTGACCCCCTCCTTTGGTAATTCTTCACAGAACTCTAACCCAATGGTTGCCATTAATTTGATTTGAACTGATTTTACAATGAATTGATTTTAGAATGCTGAATTATTTTACTGGGACGCGGGTGGCGCTGTGGGTAAAAGCCTCAGCACCTAGGACTTGCCGATCGAAAGGTCGGCGGTTCGAATCCCTGCGGCGGGGTGCGCTCCTGTCGTTCGGTCCCAGCGCCTGCCAACCTAGCAGTTCGAAAGCACCTTCGGGTGCAAGTAGATAAATAGGGACCGCTTACTAGCGGGAAGGTAAACGGCGTTTCCGTGTGCGGCTCTGGCTCGCCAGATGCAGCTTGGCACGCTGGCCACGTGACCCGGAAGTGTCTGCGGACAGCACTGGCTTCCGGCCTATAGAGTGAGATGAGCGCACAACCCTAGAGTCTGGCAAGACTGGCCCGTACGGGCAGGGGTACCTTTACCTTTACCTTTATTATTTTACTGTTGTTAGCTGCTCTGAGCCCGGCTTCGGCTGGGGATATAAATATTTTTTTTTTTATTGTTAATATATTTTCTATGAACTTCCGGCTGTTCCTGCCCGAGGCTCCATTCCCATGGATGAAGGTTGGTTTAACGAAACCACGCTAAAAACAAAATCACACTTAAGAGCTCAATATTGGCCCCCGAAAGGAAGACCTCCCAACATTTCCAAGGGAGTCTCTGGCTTTTATGAGCCTCCAGGTGGGCTGTAGCATAACAGCAGGTGCAATGAAGAACAACATGGTGGATATGTTTGGGACTACAATTCCCATCAAGCCTCAGCAAGCACAGGGTCATAGTCCAAGATATATGGAGGGCTTGTCGGAAGACAGATTAGAGCAGCCTTTCTCAACCTGTGGGTCCCCAGATGTTGTTGAACTACAACTCCCATCACCCCTAGATAGCAAGGCCAGAGCTCAGGGATGATGGGAGTTGTAGTCCAACAACATCTGGGGACCCACAGGTTGAGAACCGCTGAATTAGAGAGAAGGCTGTTACAGGAGATCGTGCCCAACTCCAGTCTACGTCTTTGCACAAGAAGCCAGAGCAGGTGCCTCCATTTCATTCCCATTGTTTGAAGACCTTACTGTCTTGATATGGTCCAGGAGGGTGATACTCCAAAGTCAAACACACCCAGGCTGAACAACTGGAGACCCCCATCCCTGCCTCTCTCTCCCTAAATAAAAACTGGTCTGCCGTTTCAACAGAGCAGCATGGGAACGGACTGAACTGAATCTCTTCGGAAATTAAAGGAGTGGATTTGATCCGATCTGACATGGGGCAGTGGTTAGGCCTAGGGCAGCAAAAACCAGAGTTCAAATCCCCGCCAGGCTATAAGCGCCACAAGTGACCCTAGGTCAGGCATGTCCAAAGCCCGCTCCGGGGGCCTAATCCAGCCCGCTGGTCGGTTTAATCCAGCCCCTGTGGCAGTTTATTTCCTGGGGTAAAATCCCCCCAAAAGCTCAACAACTTCAACCCTAAAAAAATGTCAACAACTTTGGTCGGCCCTCACTCATATTCACTTCATCAAATCTGGCCCTCTTTGAAAAAAGTTTGGGCACCCCTGCCCTAGGTCAATCACACCCTTTTGGTCTGAGGCTCCAAGACTTTGGCCACCTCATGAGAAGAGAAGACTCCCTGGAAAAGACCCTGATGTTGGGAAAGATGGAGGGCACAAGGAGAAGGGGACAACAGAGGACGAGATGGTGGGACAGTGTTCTCGAAGCTACAAGCATGAGTTTGACCCAAACTGCGGGAGGCAGTGGAAGACAGGAGTGCCTGGCGTGCTCTGGTCCAGGGGGTCACGAAGAGTCGGACACGACTAAACGACTAAACAACAACAACAATCAAGATGCAGACTTGTTGTAAGGATAAAATGGGGGTGGAAACATCGAAGAATCACATGAACCACCTGGACATGAACCACCTGGAGTTCTCTGCGGGGAAAGGCAAGATGCAATGAAATAAATATTGAATATTTCTTCTTTCGCGATTCCCAAACAGGTCAATGGCCCAACCATCAACTCTCCCAACGGTTTGACTACACACCCAAAAAAGGTATACTCCTCCATTGTCTCCCAAGAGACAGGACAGGTGCTAACACATAAAAGCAGTAAATCAATTCTCTGAGCTCACTTCAAGGTATTTTATGGGGAGCAATTCACAAATGGAATCGAATAAGCAAACGGATGGATTCCGTCACTGTCCCCAACACTTGCCCATCGCGCCCACAGAGCAGGGTCTCCTAACCCTCTCTCCCACCCAGCCAATGCCACTGCGACAGTTTCAGCTTTCCAGTGGGTCCGTTCCCCTTCCTTTCCCTGCTGCGCTGAAGGTAAACACCAAGATGATGACAAATTCAGGATGACAAGGCCTCGGGGGCATAGCCAGTCCACGGGCCAGTAGGGTGTGGAGGCAGATGGAAAATATGGCGAGACATTTCTGAAATACCAGGCTATGCACCGAGGATAACGCTTTCCCTGGGTTTTCTCCAGGAAATGCAAATAGGTTTTATTTCCACTTCTGAGTGTCCCTTTGAAGTGCACACCTGCTATGGCGGTTAATCTACCATTGCCTTCCCTCCCACCTCCAATCTGTCACTAATTGGGATTTTTAAGTCGCTAGGCTGTAAGCTTTCAAATGCAGGAGGTGAGGAACATGCTACACACTGTTCTACTGCAAAGGGGGGAATCCCAAGATTTCCAAACGCCCAAGCACCTACGAAGCATGAAGCTAGTCCTCATGAATTTGGATCTCTCTTGAGGCTGGCTCCCAAAAAGAAATTGGATTCCCGGAACAAACCCCACTCCCACTCTGCCTTACGGAGCGGAGCGTTGGCGTCCGAAGGAGACTTTCTGATAGAAAGGGGTTTGGGTTCCTTTAAAAGGTAACCTGGTCATGAGAAAAGCCATTTGTAGATAAGGAATATCTCAGGAAGGGGAAAGGGTTGGGGGAGAGGAGGGGGCTACCACGGGTCCTAAAAGGAGCTATTCTTTCGCAAACTAAAATTCCATCCCGAGATAATTATCGGCTTGCTATGCTTGGAAAAAGCCACGGGTGTCAAATTCCCATCACCACCTTGGGAAATATTCGCTACAGGTGAAGCCTAGACATCAGTCCACACAGGAAATGACGGCCCCTTTCCATTCAAAGGACACAGCAAGGTCAGAAGAAACTCTGGAAGATCCTACATAGGAGGTTGCCAGTTTGGGATGAGAATGCAGAAAGTTGAGGTTTTTCCCCAAGTCCC